GAGAGCAAGCTGGGGTATGCAAAAAGACGAATTCCTAATGCAAGAAATTGTATATGGCCAAAAAAGTGATTTTATCTTATTAGGTATGTAGTTCCCCATTCAAGCCACAACAGCCTCATTCCAGGGCTTAGCATTGGTTTTTTTGGTGTTAAGCAAACAGAAAGCGTATTACTCCCCCAGTGAATGGGACACTAGTCCACTGTAGAGCCTACCACCAGCAATGCTGGCTCCCAATTTATGCAGCATGATGCACTGGAAAAGTACCTCGCTCGAGGTACAACCCCCCAGGCATGAACCCGGAGACCCTCTCTGCTAGAATAGAGTAGAGGAGTTTACTGCCTAATGTACATGTACCGTACATTGGAATTCTTATTCATGTCGCTCTCTCAAAACAATAACAGTACAGCAGATGATACAGTATAAGACAGACAACACCACACAATGTAGACAGTACATTACAGCTATGCTAATACCTATACAAATGTTTAAAAAAATGCTTGCATTAAAAATACATAGTACAGAATATTATTAAGCTTCACAATTGAATGTACAATTTAGATTCTGCAGTTCTGGAAGTTATGTCATTAGAATGTTCAAGCATGGGTAACTCTGGGAAAGCTGTAATCCTCCACAATTACAAGGGACTGGATTAAATGCTGCCATCACACGATTCCTTCTGCGGCCCTTTGCTAAAGTGTAATTCTGAGGTTGTACAGACTTGGTGTAGGTTTTCTACAATTCTATTATTACCAAGCTCCCCTCAGCGTTTGCTTTCAGCTCCACTTAAAAATAAATGTCAGAGCAATTATCAAGCATTTCCTACTAGGAGGCCTTGAAACTTTTTTTCCGTTTCAACTTCAGAATAATTACAGGCTTTGCTTGAGCCAAGGCATACTTGTACTTTCCATTCAATTCCAAATAGGAAAATGCTCTTTCTTTCTGTCTCTAATCAATCATACAGCTTCAGAAAGCACAAAGAGGACAGAATAGGTGCATGAACAACTGAGCATTTCAAATCTTGTTCTGGATGTCTGTCTCGGTGACATGAATATAACCAGTGTTAGCAATGTGTTATTTATTCTCATATGAATGAATTTCTGTTGGCATCTTAAGTATACAGACACTCTAAATGCAAATGATACAACAAATGCAATACTTGCTTTCATGTAAGGCAGTTGTTAGTAGGTAGTAACTTAATGGTAACATTGGGATATTTAAAAAAAATAAATCAGACATCAATTTTGTGTCCAGAGTTTTCTTTTTCTGCTCCTACTGTACATCAGCTATGACTCATGCTGATAGATAATGAGCTCCACAATGTTGAAAATGAGTGCCTGTTAAAATATAGCACATACAGCGTAAGTCATTAAATCAATACAAAAGTGTTCACATACAAAGTATGGTGGCTCTTCCACTTACATTCAGTGAAAAGTTGCTTTATTACCCACAAAGAAACAGGTGCCTGTACATGGGAACCTGCTGAGATGCTTCATAGATGATCGACAGCTCAAGAAACTCTTACATATCTTTACTGTACATTCATCCACATTGGCGATAATGAATTCTTTCCTCTGCTTCTGTTCAAGAAATACTTTCCTCAGCTGCAAGTGTACCTACAGCCCACATGGGTTATTTTAGTTGAACTATTTCTGCTTAGAAACCTTTTGTATTGGACATTCTCCACTTTCACCTAGCATCTGTTGCAAACCAAAAGCCATAAGAGCCAGACTAAGGAAGGCTGTGAAGTGAACTCTTTGAATTTTTCATTTAAATTTGATTTCTGGCTTCTCTCAAGAGCCTGATCACACATCAGCAAGTGTGATATCCAGGTAAATTAAGCCTTGTAGCAAAATTCCAGTTAACCTTCACATTATTCCAGCAGCTTTTTTCCTCTCCTAAATTATTTGGAGCAAAAACGTGGACTGAATCCAAAGTACTTTGTGATGCAGTGTGATTTTTGGTGAATGCAACAAAGAAAGCCACACGGAAATGAATAGAACTGATCTGCAGATCATCTGTAGCAATATCAGCAATCATGTTTGTTTTCAAAAGTGCAAGTTACATGAGGTTAGCAGAGTGAGAAATCAGAATAAGTGAGAGAAACATGTTCCTTTTGCTTTTTTTCCTGTATTAAGCATAACGGTCAGGAATGGGTAGTTGTTTTGTACTTGTACGTTTGCCTTTCTGCTCTTAGTAGGTACTGTATATAATGAGGTCATACTGTATTGCACTGATCTCATTCTGTTGACACAATGGACACAGAGTATAAAATGTATCCCACCAACATAATCAGTGCAGTAAATGCACTTAAAATGTTACAATCCATAAAAAAAACTTTCAAAAGCCTTTACAACTTGTACATTTTCATATACAGTAAGTGCTAATATGTATTTGATTGAAAATGTATGCTCCCCTAGATAAACCTTACCTTTCTTTAATATATTTACTTATATGTCAAAAATAAAACCAGCCTTTGCTGCCAAATGCGGATAAACAAATACCACATAACAGCACACTGATTATTTTAAACTACCTTACCACTGAGATTATGTATCAGAAACATACTGTAGCAACTCTTGCTTAGAAACACAAGTGCTAAAGAAAACCTTTCAAAAAGCCTTTCATGTCTCTCTAGTGAATATTTTGGTAAAGCTTTTATAAGAAAATACAGTCAGTCTGACTTTTATTTTCTTTAAGAAAGATACATACTCTATCTTCCTTTTTGGGGTGTGTTGGAAATTTGTACGTTTCATACAAAGAACTGACTTAAAACAACTGATGCTTAGTGACAGAACCTAACACTCCATGTGCATTAAAGGGACGGGAATGTTTTTAGAGAAAACGCATCAACATCTGGGGAGAAAGTATCAAACCACATTCTTCATCTCTCTTTTTCCATATATCATAATATGACTAATGTTTAATGAAAATACACAGGAAAAACCAAACAAATATATTGGTTCTATACAGTATGACTGTAAAAAAGAACTCGTTGTTATAGAATTTAGATCAGACCAAAACACACTACTGTTAATGCATGAATGCAACATATTTTATGATAAAGTGCTTCTGTGGTGGAGCTTTCACTGTTTAGTATCAGTATTTCTAAGTTTGGTAAATGTCTTACTCACTTTCTCAGTGTGGGAAGGATATCATATGCAAATCTGTTTCCTGTTTTATCTGACTAGCTTACAGTAAAACCATGGATAAGAAAAAAACATCTGGACGAACTAGGTTTACCCTCTAGCTATGAAAACAGCTTTCTGTGCACATGAAGGATCTGATTTTAAACCTGCAAGGGAACTGTGAAATGGGATCTAGTGGCTTTGTATTAGTTTAGCTTGAACATCATGATGCTAAACTTGGAGCTAAGCTCTTTTAATGCAGCAGACTGTGGATAGAGGCAGATGATGATAATCAGAAAAAAAGAAATCAACACCAGCTCAATGCAGTGAATAGATACTGCATGGTATGTGGCAGTATCAGATAAATTCAATTGATTCGATTTTAGTTCTTGCCAACTCCTTTTTCAAAGAATCATATGAAACTTTTTTTTTCAGGACCAGAGTACTTCACTGAATGTACTAGTTTGATCTATACCACAGCTTGTTCGTCAAGTAACAAGTGACAAGCCAAAAAACAGTCAGAGGTAGATGATATACAGTGTGTGAATTTCAAGAAGAAAAGATACAAAATAAAATTCAGACTTTATTTGCACCTGAATTTTCAAATATAAATAATTCTATGGAATTCTTTTAAGTGTTTTATTACACTTTCTCGCGTGTATCCCACTGAAACTGCACTTTTTTTTACTTCACTTTTAAAGATGTACATTATTCCTGTAGGAGAGTGTACTTCATGCTTTACTGATTGATGTTTTGTTTTGTACAAATATTATTATTAATGGCCAGTTCCCCAGTGCTTAAAATGAGTAGTGTGCAGGTACGCACATGGCCCTGTTTTAAAGAAATGAATAGAAAGCACTTTCTCTTGCTGCATGGCCCTCTATGCCCACATAGTGTGTAGATATTCCCGGTGTCTGGTTTTAATAAAATCCACCCATCCGTTTTCTGACCACTTTCTTCAACACAGGATTGTGGGGGACAAGGGGATTATTCTGGCAAGCAAGAGGCTCCAGGTAGGATACACCCCAGGCAGGATGCCAGACACAGACACACTTACACCAGGGCCAGTTTTCCTAGAAGTCAATTAACCTACCAGTGTGTGTTTAGACTGTGGGAAAACCAGAGCACCAGGGGAAACTCAGACAAACACGGGGAGAACATACAACCTGCTTGCAGCTAGCAGCCCCAGGAACTGAACATACGGCCCCAGTGCTGGATGTAACAATGCCAACCTCTGCGCCACCATGCCACTGAGTTGTAATAAAATATGTACTAAAAATAGGAATATAGTCAGTGCATTTGCCTTCCGTTTGACTGTTGTAAACTTGCCAATACATTTTTTTGCAGTTCTCCCTGGTACTGAGGATCAAACTCCTCCTCAAGTCTTCACTTGGAAACTTGTTGTGAAGTCTTTGACTCCCTGGTAATGATGTATCCCTGTATGTTTACACAGTTGCCTTAATGATCACGACTGCTCATGGATTACCTTGCGACAGATGCTGCTGATTATTCTGCAGACACATTTCTAAAAGCTAACCGTCTTTACATGTAAGCCTATCATGGGTATTTATGTGATAAATATATTAAAGACTAAAATAATTCTGTTCCAGATTGTCTTTTATATTGATCTAGTAGTGGATTGCTCCCAGTTTATAGTAGCATGTGATTTTGATAGTTTGCAATTCTAAATAAAATAATAGCAACTAGGAATGTGGCCAAAGAAGTCAGTCAGCTCTCCATATACACTAGATCACAGATGTTTGGTATGCGAGGAGAACATTTCTACATTGCTAGTTTAAAAAAAAAAAGCCAACGCACTCTATGAAACTGTACTTTCAGAACGGACTTTGGACAAGCTTTACTTAAAGGAGATACCTCGAACGATGATAGTGGTGGATTTCTTGGCGGGGTTCCCCACGTTATTGTTGGCAACGCAGCTGTAGACTCCTGCATCCTCAGAGGTGACAGCCGGCAGGGTGAGGGTTCCCACATTTAACACGCTCTTCTCCGGCAGGGCGCCGGTGCCTCGCACCCAGGACAGCGCGGGGGCAGGCTCCCCGCCTGAGGTGGTGCACACCAGGGTGACCGTCTGGCCCGGGTTCACCACGATGGGGTCGTCCACCAGCAGTTTGATCGTTGGCGAGGCTGAAAGAGATGCCAGTGAGGGGCTGACGTTGACTAGTGAGCATTTCGAACAGCAGCTTCGGGCTGACTGACAGGGAAAGAAAAACCTTGGGGGGTATGACTGCACCGTGTCTCAGAGGAATAACATCCGTTCTACATTAATACTCAATATATTGACTGGTGTTTAAACACACTCGGTAGTGCGGGTGGCTCAACCTGCTGGGCAGCACTCAATTTTTATCCGAGCTGCTGTATTATCTCTGGCACGGAGCACTTAGTCCATATTTAAAATCAACACTAAGGTGGGTCACAGACCAGGCAAAATGCACAAGAAATGCTAATGAATGTGCCACCTCGTATTAAAAATGATCCATCAGCATTTAACTGTGTTTTTAAGGCTCCTAGCCTACAGCTTCCCAGGCTTTCATACACCTCTTTCGTAATGCATCTTGAAATCACTGCCAAAAGCGGGGTTAAGTGCTGCAACTTCACAGCACTACTGAAGGGATTACGGAGTGTAAAACGTGCAGGGGTGAGTAGGAAATCCTAAATATGGCAACTCTGAGTCTCCTTCTTTAAGCAGAAGCTCAGTTAATCCCCATGTGTTTTTTTTTAGTTTTCCTTGCCGATTCTTTCTTGTGAACTCAATAGACTTGGAAACCGTTTTTTTTTTTAGAATAACTAAGGAGAACACAGATAAGTACATCCAGTCTTACTTAACCCTTTTTTCCCCAATAATGAGGGTCACAAATACAAAAAAAAAAGCAACTTTGGAATGGTTAAAAAGTTAAAAAATTGGCACATTACGGCAAGGAAATATGTCCAGAAAATATCAGGATGAACATAACTGATTTTACAGGACACTCCTTCATAGAAAATTACCGTATGAAAGCAAATAGCAAGCACACAGGTGTCTGAATATCATGTGAAAATCCTAGCAGAGGGAAGCAAACTGCAGAATATTAGAACATAAGAAAGATTACAAAAGAAAAGAGCCCATTCGGCCCATCGAGCGTGTATGGTAGTTGGTAGTAAATTGATCCCAGGGTCCTATCCAGCTGTTTAAGTTAGGGAAGCCAGGGCAAGGGCTTCAACAACCTGCATAATACTTTGTGAGTGTAAAGTGTGACCGCCACTGTTTCATCCTATGGGTTAAGTAAAAGCATATTATATGAACAGATTGTTTGGCCCACGTCAAGCTAACAGCCACAGCCAATTGGCTGATGAGCTGATGTGTAACACGCAGTTACACCACGTGTTGTGGATGGAGTGATATTAGCATTATGCTGGGGAAAGGGCAGCACCAGTCTAGAGAGAAAAGGGTAGACTGGTAGACCAAAGTAATGGCCAAAGTGTATTCAGAATGATTTTCTGTACATGCCTGGCCCTACTCTTGATGTTTCACACTCAAGGCCACTTCACTACGCTACAGCTGAATGCAAGGGCTAATAAATAACATTTAGGGTTACGCACCATTTCCTTAGAAATTAGTTTACTTAAATGTCTTTAAAGATGGAGAGAAAGGCTGTCATTACATGAAGACATGTCCTTGGGTTCCCTGTGATCAGTTGTGGGGTCACGTATACCTTGAAGCTAAAAAGGCCCAGGCTGCAGGAACAGCACGGAAATGAAAATGCAAGTTTAAAGTGATAGATTTGATTTCCCCAGGACTAAAACTCGGCGCAATTCTTTTTGTGTAATGAATGAACACAACGACCTTCATTTTGAGAAAAGCATTAGAATTGAGAGGCATGAGAAATTGCACATGGCCTGCACTGAACTCACGAGAAGTAAAACTCGTTTGGTACTCTGCATAAAAAAACAGGTTTCATGCACTGAATGTAAAAAAAAAACTCCAACTGCAAACACTAAAGATACAGAAGAACTATATTTGATTGTTTTCTTTTCATTCACATTTGAGTCATTCACCACAGAACAGTGAGACACTGACTTCCCAATCACTGTTTTTGTAAAAGTGACTTATTTCCACTTTATTCAGTATATTACCATGTTCACTCTAAAATTAGTTTTGTCAGTGAACTATTTTAGGTTTAAGACTGCCTCTGTCAGTTCTGCTTGCCATCTCGCTCATAATTTTAGTTCAAAATCTAGAACTGATCTATCTGTGAGTTTCTTCATCTTCCTCCTTAAATTATTATTCAGCTATTCTGCAGAGATCCTTCAAATTTGCCTTTACTATCATGGTTCCAGTAAAAAACTAAAGTTATTCAGATTATTCTACTTTGAACTTCCTGTAATGTTCATTCCACATGGTCCTAGTTCATCATTACACTCTCAGGTTTTCACTGTATCAATGAATCAACACTCTTGATCTCTGTATTACACTATTTGACTTAACATGGACAACTGCATCGGTTTTTCAGTGTCACATACTTTAAGGACCTTAGATTTGCAGTTTAAAATTTCAAGGCTTTTTGAAAGACTTGTGCCAACCCCAAAAAACACATCAAGACGTCCATCAGGGTTCCATCAGATTTCTAAAGGCATATTTGATACAGTATGTATTAAACTCACACCAGATCTAATAAAACTGCAGACATGAGCAGGAAATGGCTGACTCTTAGCATCGTGTTCACATTTGGGTTCAGCTGTGCCCTGCAAATTTACCTGTTCTGTTTGAGAGCCTAAACAAGACCATCTTGTCTGGGATTCCACACACATTTCGCACAGAGGCAATGCAGCTGTAGTTTGCATAATCCTGAGGCCGAAGATTCTTCAACTTTAAGATCTTGGTTTCCCCCTGCAAATCAAAACCAAAACCGTTTTAGAGCCAGAGCATTCTATAGTATGTTCTTCTCTTGCTTTTAGACAACTAAATGATGTAATGGGAAGTAGTATCAACCTAACAAGTATTCTCTTGTCCAGTGTAGGTCAGATTTTGAACATGTGGGATATAAAGAAGAAATTACTCAGCTTGTAGTAGTTCTATTTATAACACAGACTGTTAGCAAGTGGTGATACTACAATGTATACTGTATATTCTTTCCAGACAAGAATTACAGTATAACTCTGATATCACAGATAAGCTTCACAATAAAAGGAGATTTGGTCAGTGGTATGGGTACTGCTGTTTAGTGTTCAGAGTATGGAATAAAGAAGAAGAACATAAGGTAAACTCTGGTGATTTAAAACAAGGCATAAACACAATAATGATAATGGCTGTAAGCCAAACCTACAACATTTAATTTAAAGCTTTAACCTAACAAAAAAAATAGGACATTACAGAGTTTCTATTGTAATAGACCTTAGTCACTGTCATTTATCAAATTCCATTTTATTAGTCAAACATAATTTGATTAGTCAAGGATTTATGGTTCTTTTTTCACACGTCTGCCTTTTCTGGTCTCTCAGCAGGATAATTTATCCTTCTGTATTGTTGCCAATTATTTGTTGATATTGTCAAGTCCCTATTCTGTTGACTTAAAAGAACAACAGCCATTTGATCTGTGGCCTCGACAGTCTTCTGTATTGCAAGCCATCAATGTGAGAAGACCACTTATTCTACAGTTTATAACTTCATGTCTGATATGCTGTTGCCCGTATGAAAGCAGGCAGATCAGAATGAATGCTGAAAATCAAAACCTCTGGCATTACAGTATGTAGTCATTGAATTGTTGACACCAGAGTACACTTTCCATGAATTTCTTTGGCTGGCTCAGTGTTCAGGAACATGGAAGAACGACACCACAATGCATGAATTTTCCAGCATCCATTATGTTCTACCTCTAAAAGGCAAACAATAAAAAATAAACAAGGCAATCTAGAATATCTCGACTTTCCTGTTTGTGTACTGTATACTCAGCATAGGAAAGTCTACCATAGCTGATATTGTATAGGTTCCAGTACTTTTGATCATTTAGAAAACCTTTAACTCAGATGTGGGTACTGTATAACTCATTACCCGTGTTTTGTATTTTTGATATGTTTAATTGTAAACTGATATTTAATGATGAAACATATTTAAATGCAGCCATCTCGTTTCTGTTGTTTAACACTCTCCACAGGGAATCAAAAAAGAACACAAAATAAACCTGCATGTCAATACTGTTGCTGCTAATTACAAACACATTTACTGGCAGGGGTGTGAATTTCCACTTGTGCAACTGGGCTGTGCCTCATTTTTTAGAACTTGTATTACTGAAATATCTTTTTTAAGATGATGTACAGTAGAAGCTACAGTCAGTCCCAGGCTAAATCGGCTCATGAACAAGAATATGTCTTTCATCCATGAGTCAGCAAATTGATATCTCATTTGAAGTCCACTGTAGCCAGATCTTACATTTCACACCTCTGAGGGGATATTGCAAATAATTTAACATAAATTAAAAGCTTATTTTAGCACAACAAATTTAATGTTTTTTTAGGTCCTTACCATAATACTGCTGATTGAAGGAACAGAAGGGAGAAAACATGTCTGCTTTTCAGAGGCAAATATTTATTTTTTTAATATTTATTCATATAAATGTTTTTCAGTGGTAGGTATAAATGCAGAATATTCACTGTGTTCTTAGAAGTCTATTAAATTAAGCTTTCTATTACACGTAAGCCCACGAATCAGGCATGAATTCACATACTGTATGTATTTAAAAACAGTTTTCAGAAATCCTTTGCTATTTTAAATGGTTGATCTTCAGAACAAATATGAATAAGGAAAACAGGATTATTCTGTCTAACAGAGGGTAATTCAAGTTAAGAAGCTCCAGGGACGTAAAAGAAAAATATAAACATTGAGTGTTTCAGTAAGAGAGATTCAGATTTCTCACCACCGCGGCCAGAAGCTACCTACTGTATGGCTCAAAAGCCTGCATCATTGCTGAGTTACCTGGGTGAAAAAAGGCTCGTAGATCTCCACACCCTTGTCTGAGCCCTGTGACAGGATCTCTCGTCCCCGACGCCAGCTGTAACGCACAGGAGGGTTGGAGTTGGCCACACAGCGCAGGAATACAGTCCGCTCATAGTAGAATTGCTCCTTTGCTTCCCCAATGCTCTGGTGCACTGTCACAACAGGATCATCCAAGTCTGCAAAACGTACAGGAATAACATTGGAGTAAAAGAGCACACTGTATCTTAAGAACAGGCAGGTAGGCCATTAAAGCTTCTTCTCCTACTAGTGCATGAATAGCAACAGAACCGATTCACTGTCATCCTGACCGATTCCCAGATTTATATGAGAATAGTTAGATAAAGATTTACCAGTCTGATCCTTGAGAGCCAAAGAACCATTTCATGTGCTACTCTAAAGAGAGGTATCAGTACTGTTTAAAACTGCAACCTCCCCAAGTTATTATATTTTGTATGACCCAGATTATTCAAAGCCAACCCAAAGTTGTTCCTCAAAGTATTTCATAACTATAGAAAAGGACTGTAAAAATCAGGTGGAAAAAAGATAATTATTTGATGGTGGACCTTCAACTGAACTGCGCTCTGATGCGCAGACACACATTTGAGCACATAGACCTCTGGTTGTCCTTCAAATTTATTCCTGATAAACAGAGTGACTCACATTCAGAGAAAAAAACTATAATCACATGAAAGAAATCGTTCAAACTTCTCTGCATCAAAACAAGCTGAAGAAATTAAACAGTTCATGCATCAAAGGACATCTGTGTATCTGAAAATCTGGAAGCAGATGAACCTAATTGAGTCTACTGCTTTTATTCAATGTACGTAGGTAATGCAGTTTAATTACAATTAGAGTGTTTCTTCTATTCATGACAAATACTTCCAGCTGATTATCCTGACTGTGACTTTACTGTCTCTTTACTAAATCTTCACTATGTTGATACACATCAATAGCACACAAATTGTAAACTGGTTTCATACAGAATACAACTGATGCCAGTAAGTCAAACATTACCTTGGAGTATCAGAATTTCAGCTCACTAAATTACAAGACCAGTACTTGATAAAGGCTTTCCACTGAGCTGAAGAATACACTCAAACCAAAAATAGTTGGGGAAAGAATCATGAAATATACGCAGTTTACATTTACCATTAAAAGAAACAAACAAGTCTAACCACAAAATTGAGTTAAAAGAATTTAAATGATGAATGCAAGGATTCTATAAGCATACAATATGCTTCAATAAGTATAAATCATTAAGTACTTTAGCTAAATATTGTTAATTTACAGTAAGCTAACAACAAATATGTCTCTTGTATAGTAGCTTGACAAAGCTTGCTTCTTTAAGCTAAAACAGAAGAGAATTTTCATGGTTAATGACATTAGTGTGGGAGGAGAGGAGTTCAACTCATTTTGAAAATAAACTGCTATTTAATATAAATTATGTGATACATAGCTTCTGTATTCAAACAGCAGCTACTCGCTTAAAGTAATGTACCAAGGCTGTGCCTGAAATAACAAAGCTGGCTGTTACTGATGTAAGAGCCTACTGCCTAGAAATTAAGTTTAGATTATATAGTGAGTGGCATTAAAATGCAACAAATAAATACTGGGTTCATGAGCCTAAGTTTTGGTTTTAATGCCTCTCAGAATACCAAGATATTTAGGTATGTATTAAGACCTAATACAAGTAGTACAGTATGTGTCTATTATGAATAATTATCAGAAATTACTTCTGTTTATTAATACCAACTCTATACCCTGAAAAAAAGAAGCCATGTTTTGGATGAGACATAAAACTGAGGTCCTGACTCTCTGTGGTCATTAAGAATCCCAGGGTGTTTCTTAAAAAAGTATAGTGGGGTTACCCGGGTGTCCTGGCCAAATGTCTCCCTGGCCTTTATCAATCATCACCTTCTTAAAATCCTCATCTTTGAATATGCTTCATTACTCTGTTCTCCTCCCCACTGATAGTTGGTGTGTGGGGAGTGTACTGGTGCACTTTGGCTGTCGTCACATCCTCCATCGCTACACATTGGTGGGGGTGAAGGAGAGTCCAGATTACCTTTAAAACACTTGGAGTGGAGCGTCCAAAAAACCCTACATACAGTATAAGTGTAAGAATTTATTATTATTATGTTGTATGCAATGAAATGTTTTTTTTATCTGAACACATGGCAAGTTACCCTTGGCACTTCCACTGCCATGTCTCATCTTTCTCATTTTTCTTCACACAAGAGAAGAAATCTGAGAATGTGGACCTGTGAAAGGTCAAAGGTGAAAGGCAACAAAGAACCTTGGGAAAACTCAGCTGAGGAGAAAACATACTGGGACCAAAACACTCTGGAGAGAAACAACACATGGAAGCTGCATTTTTATCCAGGTCACTACACAAATATAAGTGTTTATTATGTGAACCTTAATTAGACCATCTGCCAGCTTTATTCCACAGAGAATCAGTAGGGTCACCATGTGGATATGACAATGAATGCGTGGGATATGAACCAAAGTTACATAACAGCCCAGGAGAAAAATAGTTCTTCATGAACATCATTTCATAGGCAAAAAAAGAACATCTCAGTTTCCTTTTGAATGTCTTGAAACTTCTCTGGACATACAGTAGGCACAGAAGAGGTGTATTGATGGTAGAAAATAGTTATGTCTTACAGTAGATGAAGAGTGTGCTTGAAGGTAATCTACAGTATTTATATAAATCTTCACTTTCTCTTTCCCATTATTTTTTCACTAAGTATTTCACTTAAATGAAAACAAGAAAATGTTCCTCCCTCTCTTACTATATGTTAAAAATGAATATGAGTGATTCAGAAATTTCATTGGTATTATTCACTTCTGCTAAGAAATTTTCAGAGCACTGAAGATCAGCAGCTTTTCAGTCTATACAGTATAACATCAATGTATTTTGTTCATTAAGTTAAAATGCACAAAGAACTCATGTTCAGACGTTTAGAGTGTTTGCACAAAAAATACAGATTCAAAACTCTACAATGGTTAATGTAACTGGATAATGAGCCTACTACATAATGGCAACATTATAGTATGTGCTCTTCAGAGAACAGTAACCTCTGGCTTTTTTATTGGGTATCTAACAGGTACAAATGTATTTTTTTACACACTTGATATATTTTGCACTTTAAAACAGCTTTGGGATTGTAGTAAATTTCTTTCTGAACCAAAAATTCTACTCATTAAGACAATTAAAAAATCTTAGCCACAGTCTTTTCTTTGTATTTGTAAGGACAGGAAATTGCAAATTGCATTGACAGAGGCAAAAGAGGGAAAGAAGGCTATCTGTTAGAAAGACTTTTTAAGGAAATCTTTTTAAACTTTAAGGATTTAAGGAAATCTTTCTCCTTAAAATAATGTTTTACTGTTCATGCTCCGTATATTGAATGTCAGTTCACAATTTGTTTATGAAGTTCACAGGATATCAACGGATAAAATGGCAATGTCTTGGTTGTATTTATTGCTCTAAATAAAGTAAAATATTTAGAGCAAAAAACAACAGTTAAATAAATACAACCAGGACATTGCCATTTTATCCGTTGATATCCTGTGAACTTCATAAACAAATTGTGAACTGACATTCAATATACGGAGCATGAACAGTAAAACATTATTTTAAGGAGAAAGATTTCCTTAAATCCTTAAAGTTTAAAAAGATTTCCTTAAAAAGTCATTCTAACAGATAGCCTTCTTTCCCTCTTTTGCCTCTGTCAATGCCTTAGTGGATAAATTCAGCATAACAATTTTTTAATTAAATGGAAGCTGCAAAAACACTCACTAACAGGGTAAAGGTACCCCCCCAGAAAAACTAAATGGTAACCCAATGTACACAAATAAAAAGACACTCTCAGCAGAAAGACACCTATGACAATTTGACTATGTCAAGTACTTTCAAAAATGCTTCAGTTTGTGTATCCCTTCTCCCTTTTGTCTCCCCACCTACACATTTCTACACGTGTCTACATTGTGTAGCTAACACTGAAGAAGCCCATTACGTTCACTCTATTAAATTCCGGCACTGTTCAAATTACAACTCAAATAGATTTATGCATCAAAAGCTAATGTTGTGGAGCAAATAAGAAAGGAGAGGCAGTAGGCATGCTGGCCAACAGATCAAACAGGAGCAAAAAATCAATAAGACTATCCATTTTTGCACTGAAAAACACAAGAATGAGAATAAAGATTGAGGTCATGGGATTTGTGAGAAGACAGCACCATTTCAGGAGGTAAACCACTTCATCATTTGTTTCATTCCTACCCTCTCTGTGCCAAGGTCTCTTGATTAGAATGTACTGATCATCAACACATCCTTTCACAGCCCCGCAAAGTATCTTTACTGAGAGCAATTAGAAAATAATGTGAAAAAAAACAACTACAGTAAGTCAATGGGCTCTTTGTTCAAGGTAGCTAGTGTACAGTATACAAGGTACCAAGGTACCAGGAACAAAGAGCTTTTTTCTTACTGTTCCTAACAATTACTCTGACAGGGCAGAAATAGCTGATAGACACAGGCTCTTACACTTGAGCTTCATCACAACAGTCATACACTCAAAGAAAGACAGACAAAAAAATTGCACTCATAAATGCAAATATTACTGTACTGTATATTGGCATTATTAGAAAACAGATCATCCAAAAACATAAAATGAGGCAGAGGGAACATACAGTACTGTAATACCGTATCACACACACTAAAATAATGTATACTATTGTGAAAAAAAGAAAATTGAAACTATTATTTTCTATTACATTTGAAATTATTATTTTTTACCTTTGTAAGTGATTATAATTTGGATGCATAGCAATTATATACTGTATGCACCTTATACTGTATGAGTATGTAAGGAGAACATTAAGGATACTATATATAAGATTTTATGTCTTTGAGATCATCTTAGTATGTCTACAGGATTCTACTCCAGCATGATTTTCTAAAGTAAGAAAAACAGTGGCGCATGCTAAATTTAAAAAGGCACAGATTATATTAAGACTATCTTGCCTGACTGAACAATAAGTTTTAATTCACCAATCAGTCTCATTGTAAACGTCTAACACTTTTCAAGACCAGCAGAATTCCTCCTGTACTGTAATGCGGTCTCAGGAGTTATGTTTTAATATTAGCATATGCCACACAATGCTGTATTTATATTTA